TTGTTAGACTAAAATTGAATGGGCTAGTCTTTTACAAAGTTTAAAACTTGTGTTAATATATAATTAATATAAAAATTAATAATTAAACATAAGTGGCAAACAATATCACTTTTAAATGGGGGTGCTATAGATATGGCCAATACTGTACGTATGTATGTATAATAAAAAACAAAAGAAAAAGAATTCAGATAAATGCAATAAAAAGAATATGCTTGTGTCTTATAATTTTTACTTTATCACCGCAAGTCTTCGTTTTATAATTTCTTTTTTGGATGATGGATTTATTTATACATATGTATGTACAATTATTTGACAGAATTTCAAAATACAAAAGAATTCCATACATACATACATAAGCTGCCCGAAACTTGCTACGATATCGATAAAAACTGGAACTTCTTTACATTCTAAGTACTAATATTTTTATTTTCACAGTTTTAACTGTAAATCGCAGATTTTTTTTTTTAAATTAGCTCCTAGTACAAATTACAGTTTGCAGCATATCGTCCTTTGAACAAAAAAGGGGCAGCTGCTTTCCAATCATAGATTAAAACACCTTAACATGCTGAAAAAAACCCTCCGATATTTAAATCCGATGGTGAACTGTTGGGCTATTTCAAGATACATGTGAACAAGGAAAGTTTTTGCTATAGGAAAAAATTCAAAACGACAGTCTTAGTAGAGTCTGGAAGAATGCAATAATGGCTCAATCCTGCCAAATTCTGATAAACTCGATGTCGGCAATGATTTCAGCTGTTATACAAGCTGTTAAATGTTATGAAGTCGATCACATGTTTAACCAGCAGTTAGTGTTAACCAGACATAGGGTAACCGGCGCTAAATTTTAATTAAAATTTTAAAAACTGTGTTACTCATACGCCATGCTGTACATACTGCAGAGTTCGCGCGTCGCATTGACCAGTTTTGACGATTTATTTTCCTTTAATTTAAATTATTATTGTTTTTTTTTTAAATATAGTTAATTTTGCAACAAAAATCATACATATCGATCTTTCGACAAAATTTATAAATACACAAAAATGATAAAAACATATTCAATAAATCTCATCAAATTTCTATATAAATTTAAAACTTTTTTATTAAAACTTTAAGAAAACTTTCAGGTATGCAGTTTTTTAGCCCATTCAATTCAATATAGTGCAAGTTTGAAGTGGCTCAAAATTCGCCATGATTTTTGATAATGTTTTTTTTTTTTAGTTGAAGGCGTTGCGCTTTTGCTTCAATATAAAGGATGGTAAATTTTGTTTTTATGTAGAAAAAAATGCCTAGCAAAAAAATGTTATAAATCAACGCGAATTATTGGCCACTTGAAACTTACACTTTATTTAAAAAATTTAATGGACTGCATACCTAAAACTTTTCTAAAAACTCTGAACTAAAAAGTCTCAAATTTTGATGAAAATTTGTTAAATTTTTATATTTTTTTGTTAGAAAGATTGAAACTTTGATTTGCTTGGTTTTCCTTATAGAATTAACTATACGTTCCGGTGCTAATTTCGTGAGCACTGCTGTATATGCTTTTTGATATTTTGTAATAATTGATTTTTTTTTTTATAAA